TCGAACTCCAGTTCTGCATTCTGCTTCTTTCTGTCTTGCATACTGTTTTCCTTCCAAAACTTGTTTTGATTTTCTGGTGGTGATATTGTTCAAGTACTAACTCAGTTCGCCGAAGTAAAAACTGTTGTGTTCAGATTTTACTGGTTAACAGTTGTATCCTGGGAAGCAGACGTTTAGACTATACCTCAAGCACGAACGGTGAGGGGGCGAATCTGTTTTAAGGAAATTGTGTTTGCACAAGCCTTGATTTGGGAATTTATTTCTTGTTGCAATTTCAATTTCTTATTTTTTTATTTTACTGCAGTTAACGAGTTGTTTTCCTTGCAATTAACATATAAAGAAGTTTGTATTTCGATCTAATAGTTTATCCACTAAAATATTACAACAGAATGTACGTCTCCAAACATTAAGAGGAGAATTCAAATCCTTACAAATGAAGGAATCCGAATCTGTTTTGGATTATATTTTCAAGAGTTTTGGCTATTGTTAACCAAATGAGGAGATATGAGGATGACATGAAGGATGATCGAGTCGTTTGAAAAATTCTACGATCCTTAGATCTACGATTCAATTATGTTGTCGCCATTGAAGAGTCCAAGGATTTGGACACCATACTATTGAGAAGTTTGTCGTGTCTTTGCAAGCTCATGAAGAACGACAGAAGAAACCGAAGCAAGAATTGGTGGAGCAAGAATTGCAAGCAATGCTTTTATTGAAAGAGGGGGAAGAAGTGGCACATCCCAAAGAGGTTGAGGATGTGGAAAAGGTCAAGGTTGTGGAAGAGGCAGCAACCAACCTTCAAATAATGAGAAGAAAAACCAAAATTTCAACTGAGGGAGAGGTCGTGGACGAGGCAAAGGAGGAAGTTTGAGGCAAAATCAAGGAATTTATGATATATCAAATGTTGAATGTTATACTTGCCACAAATATGGCCATGATTCTTGGGAATGCAAAAATAACATAGAAGAGAAAACTAACTTTGTGGAGAGCAAGAATAAAGATGGGGATCCCACTTTACTTCTCGCTTGCAAAAGCAATGCAAATGAAGAGAATAATCAATGGTATCTTGATTCCGGCGTAAGTAGTCGTATTTGTGGAAAGAAAAATTTATTTATGGAGCTTGATGAATCCATTGGCGGAAATATCACTTTTGAAGATTCTTCCAAAGTTCAAGTCAAAAGAAAATGTATTATTTTGATCTGCTTGGAAGATGGAAATCATCAGTTCATTTCTAATGTGTTTTATGTGCCGGATATGAAAAGTAACATTTTGAGCTTGGGACTACCTTTGGAGAAAAATTATGATATTCACTTGAAAGACAAAAGTTTGACTATGAAATATGAAATAGGAGATTGTTAGCCAAGGTGCCGATGATGAAGAATAGAATGTTTACGTTGAACATTCAACATGATGTCTCGAGACGTTTGAAATCTTGTGCTAAAGATTCTTCTTGACTTTGGCACATGAGATTTAGATATTTGAATTTCGATGGCCTCAAAATAATGAGCAAGAAAAATATGGTGAAGGGATTGCAAACCATTGACCATCTAAATCAACTTTGTGATGGATGCCTTTTTGGAAAACAAGCAAGAAAGAGCTTTCCTAAAAAGTCTTTGATAAGAGCTCAGTGTCCATTAGAATTGATCCACTCGGATGTTTGTAGACCTATCAAGCCATCATCGCTTGGTAAGAATAATTATTTCTTCTTTTTATTGACGATTTTTCTCGAAAAATTTAGGTTTATTTCTTGAAGGAAAAATCGGAGGTGCTGAAGACTTTTAAAAAGTTCAAGACTTTGGTGGATAAACAAAGTGGATATCAAATCAAAGCTATTCAGTCCGATAGAGGTGGAGAATTCACTTCTAATGAATTTAAAGACTTTTGTGAGAAAAATGGCATTCAACATTGCAAGGAGTATGCTTAAGAGCAAAAATTGTCAAAGGAGTTTTGAGCTGAAGCAGTTGCTTGTGCAACCTATTTGTCCAACCGGTGCCATACCAAAATTGTTAATGACAAAACACCGCAAGAAGCTTGGAGTGATTACAAGCCCAATGTTTCACACTTGCGAGTTTTTGGAAGTATAGCATTTGCACTTGTATCGGATGAGAAGATGACTAATCTTGATGACAAAAGAGAGGTATTTGTTCATTGGCTATGATCAAAGTTCTAAATGTTACAAGTTGTACAATCCAAACAATAATACAGATATTGAGTTTGATGAAGAAAGAGCTTGGGAATGGAAAATTGCAAAGGAAGAATACAATTTTAATTCGTTCTTTGATGAAGAAGACATTATGCGGCCTACTGCTTCACCCCCAACACCTCCACCAAATCCACAAATTGGGGAAGCAAGTACAAGGACCTCAAAGAACTAGAAGTATTCGAGATTTGTATGAGTCAACCGATGAGGTACCATAAAATTTAAGGACTCGACTCAATTTTGTCTTCTTTGCGGATTGTGAGCCTCTAGCTTTTGAAGATGCTGCTTTTGATACCATGGATGAAGAAATAAAGGGAATAAAAAGAATGATACTTGGGAATTGACATCACTACCTAAAGGAAAAAGTACAATTGGATTCAAGTGGGAGTACAAGATAAAGAAAAAATTGAAAGGCGAGATAGAGAGATATAAAGCAAGATTTGTTGCAAAAGGATACAAGCAAAAAGCCGTCATTGACTATGGTGAGGTGTTCGCTCCAGTTGCTCGTTTAGAAATAATTCGTTTGATTATTTCCTTGGCAGCTCCAAGTCAATGGAAAATTTATCAAATGGATGTTAAATCCGCGTTCTTGAATGGATTTTTGGAGGAAGTCTACATTGATCAACCCTTGGATTATGTGGTAAAAGGTCATGAAGACAAGATCCTAAAATTGAAGAAGACTCTCTATAGCTTGAACAAGCCCTACGTGCTTGGAATAACATAATTGACAAATATTTCCAAGCAAATAACTTCTCCAAATGTCCACATGAACGTGCGTGCACTTTATGTGAAATTGAACAAAAGTGGTGATATATTTCTTATTTGTTTGTATATCGATGACTTCATTTTGACAGGAAATAATCTAACGACATTTGAAGAATTCAAGAGAGTTATGGTTAGAGAAGTTGAGATGACGGACATTGGATTAATGTCCTACTATCTTGGCAATGCGATGAAATAAAGAGATGATGGAATCTTTATCTCAAGAAGGATATGCAAAAGAAAATCTTAAAAGGTTTGAAATGGCGAATTGCAAGCCAGTGAACAATCCTATTGAATGTGGAGTTAAATTGTGTAAGCAAAGAGATGGAGAGAAGATCAATCCTACATTTTTAAGAGCCTTGTTGGAAGCTTGAGGTATTAAGTCGTACAAGATCGGATATTCTTTTTGGTGTTAGACTTGTAAGTCGCTTCATGGAAGCTCCTACCGCTCATTTAAAGGTGGCCAAAAGAATACTTTATTACATTAATGGTACACTTGATTTTGGTATTTTCTATACATCTTCTCAAGACTTCAAGCTTATTGGCTATTGTGGTAGTGATTGAGCTGGAGATATTGATGATCAAAAAAGTACTACCGGGTTCGTTTTCTTTATGGGAAATATGGCATTTACTTGGAATTCTAAGAAGCAGCCCATTGTGACTGTTTCTACGTGTGAAGCGGAGTATGTCGCAGCCACTTCTTGTGTTTATCATGCAATTTGGCTTAGGAGTTTGTTGAGGGAACTTCACCAACCACAAAAAGGCTCAACAAATATTTTGTTGATAATAAGTCCACTCTTACATTGGTCAAAAACCCGATGTTTCATGAAAGGAGGAAACATATTGATACGATGTATCATTTTATACAAGAGTGCATGTCCAAGAAAGAAGTGGAGCTTGTGTTTGTGAAGTCTCAAGACCAAGTTGTGGACATTTTCACGAAGCCCTTTAGCATTGACATTTTTTCAAAGGTTGCAGATGTCTCTCGGCGTAATGAATCAAGTTTAAGAGGGGGGTATTGAATTAATAAACTAGATTCATTTCTAGACTAATCCACAAATACCTATATTAGTATTAGAATATTGTAATGCATGAATTAAAGAGAGTACATGTATGTCTGTTGGTGTTATTCATGTACTTACGTAGAGGAAAAGTATGCAATTAAATATTGATACGTGTATTAGACTAGGTTCACATTGGGAAAATCCTATATATGCTCATGTGATCTAGCCATTTCAAAATCAAGTCAGGTTGAAATAATAATAGAATCACATATATTTCCTCCACTACTTTTTCGTGAGTTTGAGTGTTGAGTGAACTTATGCTCTCCAATATCTAACAAAGGCAGGATAATTCAAGAATTCACAAAATCGAATTACGCCCCCACAAATGCAAATGAAGTTTCAGAAAGAATGGAATAGAATTTTGAAAATTTCAATTGAAACCTTGAGTTCTCATTGGTTTTATAAATACATTAATTTAATAATTGAAATGGCTTCCTGATAATGCAGTAGTTAATTTGCAGAATTTACATTCTTTGGTTGATATCCGTAATGATAATTTTGTTCACTATTTTCGTACATAGTAAAAAAGCACAGCGGAGTGTTTTGGGGAACCTTTCTTGTACTTGGTTTGATTCATCAATCTTGATATATGAAGATACATAAAGTTGATTTATGGGATTTTTTTTATTAGTTCACAAGATTGATGGCCAAATCTTCTTGGTACCCTCGATTCGATTTTGCCGCAGTTGAGTGTTTCTGTTCAATTGCTACATATGCACAACTCACTCTCAAATGTGGCCTTGAGTGCAGTTGCTTTTGGTTTAATATGGTATCGACAGAAATAGCTGTTTTTCCAGTTTTCCGGTTCTCGAGGTTGAGCAAGGACGCTTATATAAACAGCATTTTTTATAAGTACATAGACAGATGTTACTATGTCATGATCTATGCTTAAAGAATCCCCAGTTTTTGAGCATTTTCCTCGTTACTTTTTGAATATTAAATCTAACTAAACTGTTCTTGATTCGTAATATCAGGATTTGAGTCTGTCCGGAACATGTGATCCTTTATGTTCTGTTGATGATGCGAGCTCAGAAGATTTTGAAGTCAATAACCAACCCAAGACTGATTTGCTGAAAGCTCTTGCAATTTTTGCAGCAGCTGGAACTGGGGCAATCGCGATAAATCATTCTTGGGTTTCAGCAAATCAGGTGCCTCGTTTGTTGTCTCATTTTTATTTCCACATTTCCTAGTATGCATATGAATTCACAACCTTTTAAGAATAAAAAAATGCTGGTTTGATCAAATCCCATGATTCAGGATGTTGCCATGGCAATTTTATTTGTGATAGGATATGCTGGCATAATATTTGAAGAGTCGCTGGCTTTCAACAAAAGTGGTGTGGGACTCCTAATGGCTGTTAGTTTGTGGGTTATACGGAGCATTGGGGTAAGACATATACATCTTGGTTTTATGGATCATATTGTAATTAGACTTCAGCCTGTCATTACGAACTACTTTCATGGAGTGAATTCCTGCTGAATGTTGCCAAGTTATCTAGCTTTTCGGTTGTGTAAAATCTAGCTTTTAATGTCACTTGGAAGTTATCTTTGAGGAATTGCTTATTTTTAAAAAGGAAATTATCTTTTTAGGCTGTCCATTGTCCTTGTGCAGGCCCCTTCAACTGAGATAGCTGTTTCAGAATTGTCGCATGCATCTGCTGAAGTAAGTGAAATAGTATTTTTCTTGCTTGGTGCAATGACCATTGTGGAAATAGTTGATGCTCATCAAGGATTCAAGCTGGTCACAGACAACATCACTACTCGCAATCGGAGAAGTCTGCTTTGGGTGGTTAGTGTTCTTCAATTGATTGTTTATGCTTGCCCATGATTTACCCTATCCGAAGACTGAAATTCCATTTTACGTGGACTTCTTTGTAACTTTGATTTATCTTGTTCTGGGAAAAATGGTTAGTGATTGTATGTTCCTTTTCCATTTCAAAAGCCTAGATGTAATATACAAACTATAGGCCAAAACTTACAAGTGGATCCTATGCAACCACCATGGATCAACGATGACCAAAACTCGAATTTTTTCGTACGCCGTGTATTAAGTTGGGTACTTTGTACAAAATAATTGTAAAATATATAGAGGAAATGTAACGCCCCAAAATTTCATATATCTAGAGGTGTTACCAAACATAATTCTCATGTATTTAAATGCGGAACTGTAAAATTCATTTCTTTCTAATAAACCAAACATTCATAATTTTAAATACGAATCATAAAATCGTGTCTTTGAAACAATTTAAATATT